TTTTTTATTATTCAAATATTTACATAAATTTCAATGTACTTGATTTTTAACATTGTTTGCATCATTGTCATCATTAATTTCAACAATACTTAGACTTTTTGTATATTCAATTATTTCATTGTGTTCTAAAACAGATACAATAGGTTTATGGTAACTAAAGTAAGAAATGAAAACGTTTGATTCAAATTTATTTAAGTATCGCGTAAAAACCGCATCGATCGTCATAGCTGTATAGCTACAGATATACTGCTACAAGCATGTCGGTGACGCGAACGCACGAGATTTCACCCATACAAAAAGCGTCTAACGCCCACAGCACACGGCCGCTGCGCGTGCGCTAGTCATAAGCATGTCGGTGACGCGAACCTATAACATTTTCCCCTACAAAGTGCCCAACGTCGCTAAAGAAGTTTTCACTTCAAAAAAGTTGTTAAACCTGGACAATTAATAAAATGTGATTAAAAATAATGAGAATACAAACAGTGGTGCTGTGAGTTTTTCATCGTTATTTTTACGAAGTTTTTGAAGTGAAAACTTCTTTAGCGACGTTGGGCACTCTTTGGCAGGGGAAAATGTTATGGGTTCGCGTCACCGACATGCTCACGACTGGCGCACGCGCAGCGGCCGTGTGCTGTAGGCGTTAGACGCTTTTTGGATGGGTGAAATCTCGTGCGTTCGCGTCACCGACATGCTTGTAGCAGTATATCTGTAGCTATACAGCAACGACGATCGATGCGGTTTTTACGCGATACATAGACAAATTTCAATCAAACGTTTTCATTTCTTACTTTAGTTACCATAAGCCCATTGTATCTCCTTTAGAACACAATGAAATAATTGAAAGTACAAAAAGTCTAAGTATTGTTGAAATTAATGATGACAATGATGCAAACAATGTTAAAAATCAAGTACATTGAAATTTATGTAAATATTTGAATAATAAAAAACCATATAAACATGCATATAATTGTTGCTCGGAGTGTCAATAGATGTGAAAACCAGATTGATGTTGATAATTTTTATTCAAACATTGTGAAATTTCAAATTTTAATACTAAAAGTTCTAAGTTTTCACTTCTATCGGCAGTCCCTATAACTGCCAATTTTTTTTTTAATTCATCTTTTTGGATACATTTGCCAAAAATGTTAAAAATGAATCGCAATTTTTCATTTATTTACATTCTCATATATCTTTAAGGTCAAAAATTGTCAAATTACCTAGTAAAATAAAATCACTCCTTTTAAAATATAATGAACTTACTCTCATATATGGATTTGTTTTTTAATTTTATATTTAATTTTAAAGCTCTTTGCCATGCTTCAAACTTATCTATTTTTTTCCGAATTAATCTTCAATATAGAGGAAACTGCTACCAGGTTTAGCTATATCATGAAAACTAAGTTCTATATTTTCATTGTATTTACTACCACAACCATTCAGAGCACAATAAACTCTACTTTTATTTTTTGTACGAGGAGTTAGTTTAATGACTTCCATTCAAAAAAAAAAAATATTTAGCTTTTAATTTAATTTTAATTAACTACTACATATAGTTATTTATTAAACTAGACCACCAGACATCGTAACCAAAGTAATTAGTTGCCAATTCCCGGAAAAAATGTAATGGGTTCAAAGATATCTATTATTTTTACATTATAGGTGGAATTAATAATTAATAACTTGTATTAGTGAATTAGTTTTTGAATTAATTTTACCCGCTACAGATAACCTCAAATTAATGAGGAAAATTTGTTGTTAATGTCACTCCCTTGCCGAGAATCGAACGCATCGGTACTCTATCTCTACGCTACAAGGTGACAGAAGCAACACCGAAAATTGTTGAACTAACGTATAATCATTATTATTAATGAGATACATACTTTGATTTTTTGTAACGTTAATTCAATTGAATGATTATACATTGGTCTGATGATTCTGCGATCTACACTCTTAGGTATGTATCGTCGGTGTTACTGCTATCACCTTGTAGCTTAGTGATAGAGTACTGGTGTGTCAAGCCAGGGGTTTTAGTTTAGTTTAGGCGTCCATAGAAACAATTTATTATTTATCGTTAACCAAAACTTACTGTGACTGTTTGAGATGCTACCAGTGTCGCTACATGTGCTAGATGCAGGCGATGGAGGAGGTGGCATATCCATACGATCTACGGTTTCCTTATTTGCTGGTTTATTAGTTAAAGAACCTATAAAGAGAGACAATAAAATACAACAACAAAATAAGCACTGTTGTAATGCTTTTATTAACAAACTATTAAATTATATATTTCAAAATTAATAATTCCACAACAACAACGCTGGTTACTTTGCCATTTTTTACTTATCCTGATAGACATCACTTCAACTTCATAATTATTTCAAGGATATATATGAACTACAAGAGGATAATAGATAGAATAAACGGACGATTTTAAAGTAAAGTAACTCATTAGTTTTTAATCATATCTCACAATCGCACATCAAACAATATCAAATCGATCTAAACATTGTCATTTGAGATATGTAATTGATTATTAAATCGAATATAAATAGTGTAGCGTCAAATTGGTTTAGGCATGTGGGAAGACTGTAAAGTTTCGAATTTAAAATCCACATATCATCATTTCTGCAAACACCGATAGACAAGGCACAGTATGAATGAACTGGGTCAGTGGCACACACAAACATATATAATGTGCGAATGAACGATTACCATATAATCTATTGTAAATAATATACTATAAAAAAACCTTTATATAGTCAAATAAATCTGCGGAAGAAGGCCTGAACTGATAGGTCCTATAACGGTCTGAGGTAGAAGGGTTTTAGTTAGTAGGCGCTCCTTGAAATGAATCCAACACTACCCAGTCATACAACCGGCTGGGTGTCTTTTGTTGATTTGTCCCTTTTAAATAATTCAAAATACAAGTCTGCACATGCGCAAGGGAAGACCTTATTGCAGTCATATTATAAGTACATTACGAAAACATTCCTTGCCTGTTAACCATGTATTTAGCTATACGGCCAGGGATGGGCTTAGATAAACTGTTAACACTGACGACCAATGTTTTTAAGAGGTAGAATAGTTAGTAATAATTAATGAACTGGCAGAGCTTTGTTAGCCCAAGGCCAAGGTTCATTAGATTCTGAAATACCTATAAAACCGCTATGACCAGGCATTTTCCAATTATCCAAATTTTCATTTCATTTAACGAGTTAGCGTAAGCTAGATTCGGCGGCTTATTTTCAGCCCAGTTATTTCATGTTACCAAGTATGGGCTTACTTATTTGATGTTACTTTTCTTGAACTCTTTAATTAGTGTAATTGTAACCATCTTTGGGCTGTCGATTCGAACATCCAACCTATAATCTTCGGGTCTACATTCAACTATCAATGAAATAAAGGGATTTCACTTTGAAATCTTCCATTTATTCTATCTATCAGAATCATGTACATAAACTAGACTAACCATTGATGTCAATATAGTAGGCAAACATTATGCTTTTTATAAAAGTAGAAAATGTAGAGTATGGCAAAAGGAATAAAATTAAAAAAGGGCCCTCATTAGACGTGGACAAAAACACGTCTCTTTTTTGGATTTTGGTTTTTAGTTATAGTTTGTACAATGTACATGCACAAACAGTATTACCCTTAATGAAATGCAAGTTTATGTGGACATTTGGTGTGTTTGGGCTGTTAAATGCTGAATCAGTATTAATAAAGTTCACTTGAAGTTTTTTTATAATCTATTTTTTAAAAAAATGATGCGCATATGGTTGTATAAAACGATTTATCAGAAATTCCTCAGCATCGTTTTATAGAAAGTATTCAATTAATGAATTTAATAATTATAATTAGAGTTCGGATTATATACACTAAAAAATGGTAAATATATGCATGCAAATATGCTTAAAAAATCATCAAAATATGCAGTATAATATGCATTTATTTTAAATACATATGCATTATTGGAAAGTCTTAGAAATATGCTGACATATAAGTATGTATTATAATCCGAACTCTAATTATAATTGTATTTTGGATGATCCCATCTGGCGAAAATTTTAATTTAATTTAAGTTAAATAGCATTTAAAAGTGTGTATACGTATAATACATAACAAGAATAAGAAACAAAAATACATATTAGACTACACTAAAAATAAAATGTAAAATTCGTCTCATGGGTGAGGTAGATTAAAGAACAAATTTGCATTTACATAGAAAGGAATTGATGCAGTGTAGCTTATTATTAAAAGAATGAAACAATCAACAAGATTGTTATGTATGTCTGTATTTAAAACCGTTGAGATTGTAATACTTCTGGGAACTTATCTGACCATACTCGTTTAGGAAACTCTAAGTGCACCACATATATGTTTTCTACGAGGGCGGTTCAATAAGTACCCGTGTTTGAAGACAGAGAACGTTCCTGAGGGATGATGATGTTATCATCGTGTGCTGCCATCTATCAAACGACGCCAAAAACAAATTTCGGACTAATTGATAGGTTAGTTTGGATTTGGCAGCCATTCGAGTGGACGTGTTTCGTGATTTTGGCTAAGATGGAAAAAGAGCAGTATCGTTCGGTAACTCGCTTTTTGTTTTTGGATGGGAAAAATGCGAGGAGATAAAAGCTAAGTTGGATGCTGTTTATGGGGACACTTCGCCATCTATGACCACAGTTAGGTATTGGTTCAACGAATTTAAACGTGGGCGAACATCCGTTTTTGATGAGAAGCGACCAGGACGCCCGGCAGACGTGGTTACCGAGGAAATCATTGAAAAAGTCCACGACATGATTCTCGCTGATCGACGAACGAAAGTGCGCGAAGTAGCAAAGGCCGTAGGTGTGTCGACCAGAACGGCAATTAATATTTTACATAATAAGTTAGCGATGAAAAAATTGTCGGACCGATGGGTACCGCGATTGCTCACAGTGGACAACAAGCGGATGGAGCTGTTAACTTTCGAAACAGTGTTTGGAGCAATTTGAGCGAGATCCGAAGGACTTTTTGAGTTGTCACCGTTGAAGAAGCCTGGATTCGTCATTACACACCAGAAACCAAGCTACAATCAAAACAATAGATTTCTACCTGCGAATCTGCTCCAAAGAAAGCGAAGACAATTCCATCGACCGGAAAGGTCATGGCGACGATTTTTTGGGGTGTCATCCTCATGGATTTATTTTAGAAAAAGGAAAAACGATCACTGGACAATACTACAGCGAGTTATTGGGCCGTTTCGACAAAAAATTGAAGGAGACACGGCCGCATTTGGCGAAAAAGAAGGTGCTTTTTCACCACGATAACGCACCCGCACATTCATCCGGAGTTGTCGCCGCCATACTGCATGAATTACTGCCTCACTCCCTGTGCTCACCCGATCTCTCTCCCTGCGACTTCTTCTTGTTTCCTGACATAAGGAAATAGCTCGCGGGAAAAAAAATTAACTCAAGCGGGAAAGTCATCACCGAGACAGGGGCGTATTTTGGAGATAAATTTAATTTTTGGAGGGGTTAAAAAAATGGCAGGAACGTTGGGAGAAGTGTATCTTTCTAAAAGGGGACTATGTTGAAAAATAAAAAAAAAATTGAAGAAATGGTGTCTTCATTTCTAACACGGGTACTTATTAAACCGCCATCGTATGTTAGTTAGGGTTCCGTATCTCAAAAACAAAAAAACGAGAAACTCGTATAGGATCACTTCGTTGTCCATTTGTCCGTTTCTGTTTGAAGTTGATAATATCAAATACTCAGATCTCCCTTCGGTAAGAAGCAACGTCTTATAGCAAAAGTAAAAAAAAGAGTCCGAAAATCATAAAAAACGACCACGCTAGATCCTTACGGAAAACGAATCTGTCAAACTCATTCAAACTCTGAATTGTGGTAGTTCTGGACGCGTAGATCAAAAGTTTCATTGGGCATTAACTCATAAAAGCTCATCTTTATGAGATATCGTCCCTTAAAGATGCTCTAACCTAACATAACATAACGTTGGAGTTATCACTCTTCAAATGATCAAGTACCTATGTTTCTGCATTAAAAAAACGCACGAAGATAATACATTACCTTTTTCATTACTACTAAAAGCTACAGAGTGGACGCCATTGAATCATTCCATTTCATTTTTTATATTAAATTATTTTCCACTTAGTGTAACACTTATTATGAAGTTTAAAATTGCTCATTCAAGACTTGGAAAACGTTCACATTCTTTGGCACTAACTCTACGTTTAGGTATCTTATTTACGATGTGCAATTGTTACAGAAAATCCAGTGCCTCACAACTTTAGAGACTGACACACCCACCTCTTCTTTGGTTTAATTTTAGGTTCCTATGCTGTACCATTTGCCCTTGTATTAATAAGAATACTTTAACTGTATAATGGCTGTGTTTACAGACGCACATGCTTCATCCTATCTCGTAAACTAATTTATATTTGGATAAAACGTAATGGTTAAAGTATTTTAATTGAGTTACGGCAGCATATCACTATCTACTAATATTTACTGCTAATTAAAATAGATTCTATGATAGGACACCTTCTGAGACAAGAAGGGCTAGTCAGAGACGTATAAAAATTAAAATTGTTTCAAAAATATGTTTCTATTACCATAAACCATACAAAACCGCAGACAAAATCTGGTAGCCGTTTGGTCATGTAAGACTATTCCGAAACATTTTACTAAGTAACCTTGTAATCTAAAAAATGCTTGAGACAGAATTTTTACAAGCCGAGCTGACTTGTGGTGGTTATTTAGATAAAGAACTTAAATGCCTTGCGCCTCCACCATTAAAAAATGTGAACTGAATTCATATTTAACCATTTTTCACAAGATCTGAAATGTTTTTTCTTTCCAACAATCTGAGATATTAGAGGATTCAATGTTTTCTTCTTTCGTGTTGAACAATTTTTTACAAATAGTTCTAGAGACCTTATGATCTGCTATTTTTTCTGTTTCCAACAATCTTAGATATTACAGAATTAAATGTTTTTTTCATTCAAGTTGAATCAATTTTCATAAATAGTTCTGAAACCTGGTATCTTTTCAGTTTCGAACAATTTTAGATATCAGAAGATTCAATGTTTTCATTCATGTTGAACAATTTTATACAAATAGCTCTGAACATCTCAAAATCTGGGATGTTTTATGTTTCCAACAATCTTAAATATTAAAGGATTCAATGTTTTCATTCATGTTGAAC